ATCTATACAAAGGTAGGGTGATCCCTCCAAGGCTCAGGGACTTTTGTGGAAGAGGCTGGTGGAAAGAATGTAAGAGCCGGAGGAAGGGGTGAAGTGTTACCTGGAAATGTCCTCCGACCACTTTGCTGGCAAGCTATAGTCACATCTCCTTCCCACACTCATCAAGGAGTCGAGTGGGGAGTCAGGTACCCCTCCCACTCAATTAGTCGACCTTAGCTGCATGTGGGGGGAGGGGCAAAGGATATATAAACCAAGAACATCAGGAGACACCTCTCTCACCATTTTGTGCAGCTGTGGAGAGGTCACAGGATCTGTATTTGAGTGTGGAATTTACGGCACAGCCGTAAATGTGCGGCACCCACTCTTCTGAAAATAAAGCCCTACCCTATGCTCTGTTGAAAAAAAAAATAAAATATTTTTTTAAAAATTAAAGGGTGATGTGTCAATGTGAAGGGAGGATGCTTTCTCACTCCTTGGTCAGGAAGGGTGCCTTCTTTCTCCATGGGAAGAAAGGGTGCCATCTCTCTCTGTGGGAATGAAGGACTCCTTCTATGAACAGGAAGAATGCTGTCTCCTTGGGAAGGAAGGGTTCTCCTCTCTCCTTATGGGAATGAAGGGTGCTGTCTCTCCATGGGAAGAAAGGGTGCTACTTCTGCATTGGAAAGAAGGGTGCTATCAGTCAGTTGCAAGGGAGGGTGCCACCTCTGTGGAAATAAAGTGTTCTCTCTTGCATTTGCATGTGCCTTCTCTCTCTTTCACTCTCACTGTCTCTCTTTCTATGGGAAGAAAGGGTGCTGTTGCTCTCCATATGAAAGGAGGGTGCCCTTTCTCCCTGGGAAGAAGTGCTGTCTCCATTGGAGGGAAGGGTTCTCTGTTTTTCTTCCGGGGGGGAGTGTGCTTTCTTCCTCCATGGCAAGAAGGGTTTCTTCTGTCTCAGTGGGAAGGAAGGATGCTGTCTCTCTATGGGCATGGGAAGGGGGGCTGTTGTCTCTCTAGGGGAAGGAAGAATACTGTCTCTTATGGGAAGGATGCTGTCTCCATGACAAGGGAACATCAGATCTCTATAGGATGAAAGGGCATTTTCTCTATAGAGAGGAAGAAAGCTGGGTCCATGGGAAGGGAAGGTGCAGTGTCTCTCTATGGGAAGGAAGGGCCCTGTCTCTCTCCTTGGGAAGGATGTATGTGGTCTCTCTCCAGGGAAAGAACAGTGGTGTCTCAGGAACAGTGGTCTCTCTCTCCATGGGAATGAAGGTTTCCATCTCTCTCCATGGGAGGAGGGGTGCTACCTGCATTGGAAGGAAGGGTACCATCTCCATGGGAAGAAAGTTCTCTCTGTGTCTCTGTCTCTCTCCACTTCTCTCCCCACACTCCCCCCCCCCCGCAGCTTTTGATGGAGATATCCTGATGCTCTCCATAGAAAAGGATGGTGCTTTCTTCCTGGGAAGGGAAAGTGCTCTCTACTCTGTAAGGAAGGGTTCTCTATCTTTCCAACCATGGGAAGGGAGGATGCTGTCATTATGGGAAGGGAGGAAACGGTCTCTCCATGGGAAGAAAGGGTGCCATATCTCTCCATGAGCAGGAAGGATGCTCTCTGTCTCCAAAGGAAGGAAGGACTCTTTTTCTATAGGAAGGAAGAATGCTGTCTCCATGGGAAGGGAGGGTTCTCTGTCTCCTGATGGCAATGAAGGGTGCTGTCTCTCTCCATGGGAATAGAGTGTGCCAATTCTCTCCATGGAAAGGAAGGACACTGTCTCCTCTCCATTGGAAGAGAGAATGCTTCTCTCCACTGGAAGGAAGGGTGCCATCTACATGGGAAGAAAGTTTGCTCTCTCTCTCTCTTTCTTTCTCACTCTCCATTGTTAGGAAGGGTGCTGTCTCCATAAGCGGGAAGGATGCTGTCTTTCCTCATGTGAAGAAGAGTGTGGTATCTCTCCAGGGAAAGTAGGAGAGCTGTCTCTCCATTGGAATGAAGGTTACCATCTCCATAGGAAGAGTTCTGTCTCTGTCTCTGTTTCCCTCTCCCCCCATGTGTAGGAAGGATGCTGTCTCTTTCCAGGGGAAGGAAGGGTGCTGTCACTCCATGGGAAGGAAGTAATGCTCTCTCCAGGGAATGGAACTATGATGTCTCAGGAATGGTGGCTTCTCACTCCAAGGGTAGGAAAAGTGCTGTCTGTCTCCATGGGGAGGAAGGGTGCCATGTCTCCCCATGGGAAGGAAGGATACTGTCTCTTTCCATGAAAAGGAGGTTTACAACTCTATGGGAAGGAAGGGTGTGGTCTGTATCTACAGAAAGGAAAGGCGATCCCTCCAGGGCTCAGGGACTTTTGCAGAAGAGGATGGCAGAAAGAATATAAGAGTCAGAGGAAGGAGTGGAGTGTTAACTGGAAATGTCCTCAGACCACTGTGCTGGCAAGCTATAGTCACATATCCTTCCCACACTCATCAAGGAGCAGAGGAGGGAATCAGTTACCCCTCCCACCCAATCAGTCAACCTTAGCTGCATGTGGGGGGAGGGGCAAAGGAAATATAACCCAAGAACACGAAGAGACACCTGTCTCACCATTTTATGTGGCTGTTGAGAGGTCACAGGATCTGTAGTTGAGTGTGGAGTTTATGGCATAGCTGTAAATGTGGAGGGCCCGCTCTTCTGGAAATAAACCCCCACCCTATGCTCTGTTAAATATTTTTTCAAAGAAAGGATGCTACATCTACATTGGAAGGAAGGGTGCTATCTGTTCATTGCAAGGAATGGTTGTGTCTCCATGGGAAGAAAGAGTGCTGTCTCTCTCTCGGTAAGGAAGGGTGCTATATGTTTGCAGTGCAAGAAAGGGAGCTGTCTCTCTAGGGGGTGAAAGGGTACTGTCTCTTTCCAGGGGGTGAGGGTTCTGTCTCTCTCCATGGGGTGGGAGGGTGCTGGCTCTCTCCATGGGGTGGGAGGACGCTGTCTCTTTCTATGGGAAGAAAGAATGTTGTCTCCATGGGAAAGAAGGGTCTTAACTCTATGGGAAGAAAGGGTGCAGTCTGTACTATGGAAAGGAAGGGTTCTGTGTCCATGGGAAGGGATGATACCTTCTCTCTCCATTGACAGGAAGGATGCCCCCTCTCTCTGAGGAAAGGAATGGAGTTGTTTCTATCCATGGGAATGGAAAGAGAAGGTACTCTCTCCATGGACAGAAAGGATACTGTCGGAAGGATGCTGTGTCCATGAAAAGGGAGGGTCATTTATGGGAAGAAATGGTGTTCTCTTTATTGAGAGCATCCATGGTTAAGGGAGGCTGCTGTCTTTCTCTATGGGAAGGAGGGATGCTGTCCCTCTCCCTGGGAAGGAAGGCTGTGGCCTCTCTCCAGGTAAAGAACTGTGGTGCCTCAGGAATGGTGGTGTCTGTCTCTATGGGGAGGAGTGGTGCTCTCTGTATCTCCACTGGAAGGAAGGGTGCTTACTCTCCACGGATCGAAAGGGGCCTGTCGCTTTCCATGGTAAGAAAGGGTGCTGTATCTCTCTAAGAACAGGAAATAGGAAGGGAAGGTGCTGTCTCTTTATGGAAAGAAAGGATACTGTCTTTTTTTTTTTTTTTTTTTTCTTTTGGTCTTTTTGAGACAGGGTCTCCCTGTAGCCCAGCTGTCCTGGGATTCACTATGTAGACCAGACTGGCCTTGAACTCACAGAGATACGCCTGCTTCTGCCTCCCAAGTGCTGGGACCATCCATGGTTTTGACAGCACATTTTGTCCCAGCTCAGTCTCTGCACTTGTTAACTACAATCTTGCACTATCCCTGGTCACTTCAGTCAGCTACCAACCCACAAACGGTCAATATGCATGTGACACACTAGTGACCAGAACTGTAAATTCATTTGTCAAGATTTGAAAGTCACACTAGTGTGTGAACACCTGTCTTGTTCCCACATCAGAAAGAAAACCCTGACTCACTCCACCCACTTTGGAAAACTGAGGGTCCAGAGTTGTACCTGGTTTCCACAGCCAATACTTGCCATGTCTTTGCTGACATGGCAGGTGAAATGACTCCTCCTTTCTTCTTAGGGCTTGGGGTGGCCTGTGGGGAATATGGACAAGTCACTCTCAATTTCCTACTGTTTTGAAGGAGGAATTAGATACCATCTTTTCAATACAGAGTTAACTCTAGAACAGTGATGTGTGGTTAGAGGCAAAGCTCAGCATTAGGAAATGTGTGTGATATGTACCTGGCATTGGACTCCACCCAGCACCACGAAAAAATTAATAGTAATAATGCCAGCCAACATTTCAACTTTTACTGTAGTTGATATATGTGCCTGGTTAGATGTTTCGGTTGGTTTTTGACACAGGGGCTCACACTATGGCCCATGCTGGCACTGGATATTCTTGCAGAGGACCCAGGTTTTGTTCTTAGCACTCACAAGGCAGCTAACAATCCATAACTCTAATTCCAGGGAATCTGACAGCCTATGCTGAACTTTGTGGACACTGCACACACATGAAGGCAAAACAGGCTTATTAGATAAATGATAGATGGAGGATGATGGATGGATGGATGCATGGATGAGATCAAAGGGCTTTGGGTGTGGTTCAGTGGGAGTCTTTTTGGCTAGCATATATGAGGCCCTGGGTTCTGTCCTCAGTATTGAGTTCACATAGTAGAAGGGAGCTGACATCCAGAAGTTGCCTTCTGACCTCTACAT